TCTCCATATTGTTAAGGATTTGGTGGCAGCTCCATCTATTTACATAGCCCAAAATATTTTTTTTTTCTCAGTACAGAACCTGGTTTATTTTTAATGAGGCAGCAGGTTTACATAGATTACCAAAAAAAAAAAATTTGATTCCTAGACCAAGACTCCACTGCGTCCAAATAGAGCCACTTAAAAATGAAAACCCTTTCTTCCTTAGCGAGAGATTTCTGGGTTTGATGAAACGCAATTTTAACTTCAGTGATGGAAAATGGGCTCCTTGTAGAACAAGCTAAGCATATTAAGTGGAAATTTTTGTGAAAAAAATTATAAAATACGTAAAACAAGGTAATTGTTTCTTTTTTGTCACTCACCACTCTTTTTAAAATGATTTATTCTTGTATGTAAAGGGAAGTCACATCAGAATGATCTACAATTTAAGATGTAGCAAAAATTCAAATGTACGTGAATGCTTCATAGCAGGCTACGAAAAACTAAAAAAGTGGACTCAAATTCAGCATCCACAAATTTGAGATATGAAACAAAACAAAAAACCGTGTTGGCATGGTTTCTGTGTTTGCAGAAGAAACAGACTGTCTGTCCGTGTCACTTATGTCATTCCCTAGCTGGTCTCTTAAAAAAATGACCAGAGATACTGGGAGAGCAGATTTCTTTCTTTTTTTTTTTTAATTTTTTTTAAATTTTAATTGAATGTATTAACTGACCTCTTGCTGAAATTGCCCCAGCCTTGAATTGTGTATTTATTTCAAGTAGCCTTACAGCTTAACTCTTCATTTGTCCAGCTCTCCTGCCTAGAACTTTTTTTTTTTAATATTCTGTACTTTATTATTTTTTTATTTTTTTTTATTGTACTTCACGTGAAGGCTTACAGAAGAAATAGTTTCTCATGAAACAGTAGTATGCATATTGTTTTATGACATTGGTTAACAACCCCACAACATGTCAACCCTCTAACTTCTCAACTTTTTTTTTGTGAAAATACACATAGCCAAAGATACACCATTTCAAAAATTTCTACATGCACAGTTCAGTGACACTGCATAGTCCAAATATTTGGTGTCCTCCTTGACCCCACTTTTTCTCTCATACTCCAGTTTTAATCCACAAGCAAATATTGCAGAGTTCAATTTCAAAATATATCAAGAATCCAGTCACTTCCCACTTTTTCACTGCTCACACAGGCAAAACCACCAACATCTCTAGCTTGAAAACTGCATGAATATCCCAGTGTTTTCCTACTGACTTCTTCATCCACCAACACTTGATTTTTTCTCACACAGAAGACAGAGTGATATTTTTAAGAGCCGTCATACCATGTCTCTCTTCTGCTCAAAATTGTCTTGTAACTCCTCATCTCACTCAGAGGAAAAAGAAAAGAAAAAAACCTTCTGATGTAAAGGCCCCACATGATCTGACCATACCTCTGGCCTCATCTCAGCTACTGTCTGTTCCAGCCCCACTGCCCTCCTCGCTGCTCCCAGAACAC